GACTTCAGCAAGGCATTTGATTCAGTATGTCATAGCCTTCTCCTTCATAAACTATCTCATCTTGGTTTTCCACCTAATTTACTTAACTGTATTTCGGTCTATCTTTCAAACAGAACTCAACGCGTTCTCTTCAATAACCAACTTTCCTCCGTCGTAAATGTTTTTTCTGGTGTCCCCCAAGGAAGTCATCTGGGGCCACTACTTTTCGTTCTTTTTATTAATGATCTTCCAAAAGTAGTGTCATTTGCCTCTACTCTTATGTATGCGGACGACGTAAAAATTTGCCCATCATTCTCTGACCAAATGTCATACCTTCGCCCACAGTCGGACATGGATCAATTACAATTATGATGTTCCAACAATTTTTTGCTTCTTAACCACGCTAAATGCAAATATTTGTCCTTTTACCGGACTTCAGCCCACATACACTCTTACCATCTTGGAAACTCTACTTTAGATCGTATTACGCAAGTAACTGATCTAGATGTCCTATTTGATAGCAAGTTATGTTTCAAAAGCCATATTTCTGTCATCATTGGTAAAGCTAAGGGTGTTTTAGCCTTCATAAACAACAAAGACTCTTTACATTTCCATGGTTCGTAATATTTTGGAATACTGCGCATGTGTTTGGAGCCCTCAATATATTGATCAACAAAAATTAATCGAGTCAGTTCAAAAGCAATTTTTATTATTTGCTCATCGACAGCTGAATTGGGACCCGGTGACGCGTTTGCCACCTTACTCTTCAAGGTTAATGTTAATTGATATAAAGTCTTAAAACATCGTGAATTCTGGCCTCCTCCTTAGCTATATTAACATCGCTGTTCCCTCAAGATTTACTCGTACTTTTCACTCTATTCACTTGCCAATTTATAAATCCAACTTTGCCCTTCATGAGCCTTATCGGGTGCTTTGTTCAAACTATAATGCAGTATATCCTGCAATCTCTTTGGAAAATTCTATTGATCGGATATCATCAAACATTTATGCTTTTCTTGAATCATATAAAATTTAGTTAGATTAAGTTATATTTATTTTTAGAATATATGTGTAAGTTAGCAGTTCATTGTTAACAATATATCAATAAATATAAATATAATTGCTGTTGAATGTTCTGGACACAATTTATTTCGATCTGATTGAGATGGCAATGGAGGGGGAGCTGCAATTTATCTTCATAAAATACTGAAAATGTCTTCACAAAATACTAGCCAAAAAAATGGCAGTGCTATTGAAAGTCCATCAAAAATCCCAATTTGTTGCCTCTATAGACTAAATGGAACTGTTCCCTACTCTGGCAAACTTAAGTCTACAATATACTATTATCATACTAGCAGGGGATCTAAACTGCAGCATGTTAATCGACTGCAACTCCAGTCATGCGACTCATTGTTCGAGCACTACTGAAACATGCTTCTATATAATCAAATTCCAATTCCGGTACTCTCAAAACATGACCTCATATTTGTAACATATTGCAATGAAAGTTACCAGATGTACAGTAACCCTTTCGTTATTCGGAGAAAATGACAACGTCGTAGCGTGTTGACCTTAAGGAATAAAGGCATTAAAGAAAATAACCACTGGTGTTTTCGTATTGGAGTTGAGTGGGAGATGGGCAGTAGATCGTTACAATATAATCTAGACATCCAGTATAAGGACATTTCCTTAGAATATAGGGACTTAAAGTAATTTATCAACTGAGTTTTACACATATGATTTTAGCTCAGTCCATTTTATTACTACTGTCGACTTTAAACTCCACAAATTTCAATCCAATGTTGCCCAAATTTATAATAATTTAGATCCCTTACGCAAGAAGTCCTTTAGCCCAAGCCAACAAGACTGGTTTAATGGTAGGATTACAAATATCATTGATATGAGAAACCTGATATACAAAAAGTGTTAGTGATATAGAATAAATGATTTATATATATGTAAAATTCAGGAAATTACGTACGAAAGTCTATACATCAATAAACATAAAACATTAAGCCAAAAGTATACGTTACAGTTTAAAAATCCATGCAGCAAGAAATAAGTAGAAAACTTGGTCAAAAACCCTACGAATAGGTAAGAAACCTATCACCCATCAGTCACATTTTAGTGTTGACCACCTCAATAGCATCTTTGTTCCAGCATCTTTGTCCCAGTACCTGATAACTTGTCTTTAACTCGTTAACTTTATCCTACTGTGATAATAGATAACTGTGTATAACAATTTTATGTCCTTAAAGCAATACTAAAAGTAAAATCAAGCGCCTCAATCCAAAATGTAAAAAGATTATACTGCCACTTATTAAACATATTTTTTACTCTGCCATTTTTTTCTACCTGCCCTGAGCTGTGGAAAATTACAAAAATAATACCAATACCCAACGGATTGAATCAATATAGGCCTAAAGCGATTCTTCCCTATCTCTCAAAAGCTTTTCAGCAAACATTGGCACACCAGACACAATTATTTCTTCAAAAAAATTCTGATGTTTAATTTTCAATCTGGGTTTCGTACCTAGAAAAGCTTCTCAACAGCCATAATAAAGATCTCTGATGATTACCTTCATTAGTCCGATTAAACTCAATTGGTGAAACTGATGTTTCAATTGCCAAGTTCTTGCAAACTACCTATATTGCGGATTCTTGTCTAAACTCAATTTACCCTTACTATTTAAACAGGTCAAATTGTATTTTTCCCCGATAATAACAGAAAGTTCTCTTAAAAGGGATTTGGAGACCACAACACCAACATTATTTCCAGGTGCGTGCTGAAGCTTTGAGTTTCAACTATTTATAAACCGATTCCTAAAATGTTTCAATAGTTTACCTCAACATCAGTATTTCAAACTCTCTGAAAAGATTTTTATATATGATAATTTCACTAAATTCCACCTATCACCTGCTATTTGCAGATGTTATCGAAGACAACAAGGGTCTAACAGTCGCAAATTTCCCTTTTTTCGTAGACAGTAAAATCTGAATAAAACCGGTCTATCGGCGGATTGTTGAAGTTCATAGCTTGACAGATTCTAGAATTTACTCCAAAAAAACCCGAAACAAAGTCGAAGGAACAGCTGAAGGTACAGCGCGCGTTGGCTCCATCTGCGCTGGCACCAGCTCGGGGGTTTTCTTGAAAGGACCCATCCCTTACCAGGGATGATAGGTGGCAGAGAGTCGACCGCCAGTACATCTGCAAAGTGCGCGTCAGCGCCAACACCCGCGTGGCTTGAATCACTAGCGGTTTAGTTCTTGCGGCTGGTATTTTACTTTTTTCCTCTTCGCCAATTATGTTATGTTTAGGTTGGGTTCTAATTTCTGTTAATTTGTGCTTGATGCTACACACAGTTTCCAGAAGTTATCTGTGCAAGAATGTACTCTTTTATTATAGGGTTTAAAACTGTTCAGTCAATTCGGTGGCGATTTATTTTTGTAAAACAATGTAACAATGGCTCAAGAAGAGCTTCAATAAATTTGAGTGGAGTATTCTCAATTTGAAAACGAAGGTATCCACAAGTTTTGTTCTCGTCTGTCCAAACAAAAACTTTAAAGCGTGTTTTCTTACAGTTCCAGATTTTAAACTACTACACTGATTGTTTTAAAATTTTGAACACTGTATCTATACATTTGCTACGAGGTAACGCGGTTGCCTTTTTATACCCTTGCAGAGGGTAAGCTATATGATATAGTCGTCCGATTTTCATGAAATTTAAACCGTAATTCTGGAATAGTTAACCATTACTAAATGTCGAAGAACTAAAAAGTTATAATTTTTTTGTATTTATTTTTTCGATTGTTCCTATGGGAGCTATATGCTATAGACGTCCGATCCGGACTAGTTTTTCTACGCAAACTAGTCCCTCAGTTTTAAAACTACCTGCATGAAACTTCCCCAAAAGTTGTCTTTCTATTGCAGGTAGTATATAAGTCGGAACCAGCTGGATCGGACGACTATAGCATATAGCTCCCATAGGAATAATCGAAAAAACAAATTTTAAAAAATTATAACTTTGCTGATTTTAAATTTTTTTATTTCTTCGATTGAAAGTGATTGTTAAATATTTCAGAATTACGGTTAAAATTTCATCAAAATCGGACGACTATATCACATAGCTCCCATTGGAACAATCGGAAAAAAATACAAACAAATTATAACTTTGCTGTTTCTTAATTTTTTTGTATTTCTTCGACATATAGTAATGGTTAAATATTTTAGAATAACGGTTTGAATTTAATCAAATTCAGACGACGTAATCATACACCTCCCATAGAAACAAAAAAATATATATAATAACTATCTAATTATTGAGCTGCAAATCATCATAGCTTCAATGTTTTTAAACATACACGCAAGTAAATCATAATTTTAATATTTTCAAAAATGTTTAATTTTTGAAAGGGTATATGAACTTCGGCGTGCCGAAGTTTGCATTCTTTCTTGTTAAAAATATATTTCAAAAAAAATTTGGTATGTCATTTCTTAACAATAAACTAAATTTGATGTATAAAAAGTTTTCTTTGTATTTATTTAGCGGTTCATTTAGTCTTGGATGGGGTTTCCCTTACATATATAATATGTTTTTTACAGTGTTGATGTACAAACTTTGCTTAAGCATGTCACTATTGAAAGTCAAATAAATGGCTATTTTGTATGTAGTAATTGCGTTGTATAAAGTACATGGTTGTGTTAGAGCTGATCAAAATAAGTATATGTATTTAAGTCAAGCAAAAAGTAATGACGAGCCTGACTGTGTTGTTAATAAAACTCCTCTAAAAATATTTTTTATTAAATCAGTTAAATAGCGATTTTTCATGGAGTTATATTGATCAATACAAACTTTGCTCAACCTTAAGCAGAGTGGAAAATTGTCATATTAAAACTGCGAAAGAAAATTTAAAATTTTGTAAAAATTTTTCGCTTTTACAACTTAAATGTAGTAGTTTTTTCTTTTTTTTTTCTTCGACTTTTTCGAAAATAAACGGTTTAATGTATTATATCAAAGTACCTGTCTTTAAGAACGACTTTCTAGTTGTTTGAAATAAGTAAGAATAACTCAATTATAGTATCTATTTATACAGAAGTTCACAAAACGGTCGCCAAGTTGAAAACAATTCATTAAAATCAGTTATTTCATTAATGGTTCTAAAAGCATATGCGCGCGCAGGGCCTATACGAAAACTGTGTTCATGTATTAAGATTTGAATTTAATGTTAAACTCAGTCTAAGCCGGCAAAAAAAAGTATAATGCTTAAGCTCGTAAACGAAATGTTTTTTTTACTCTTATTTTGAGTTAGCTACCATTTTCCAACTGATTTTAATTAGGTCTCCAGAGCTCATAAAACTATAGCACAAATGAACGAAAAAGCTTTGCAGCACTATAGTTCTTTTATATTTACTTTTTCTAAAAATTAAATTTTCGATAAAAATTTAAGATCATGATAACTACATATAATATTTTTAAGTGTGTAGCTGCACTGCCTAACTACCGAAAAAAATCGAATTTCTCAAAAATAAAATCAAACAAATTTAAACAAATCGGTAATTTTTATACCCCTGCAGAATATACATATTATAATTTTCGTCAGAAGTTTATAACGCAGTGAAGGAGACGTTTCCGAACCCATAAAGTATTTATATTCTTGATCAGGATCAAAAGAGGGCTCGGTACAGCTATGTCCGTCTGTCCGTCTTTCCGTCTGTCCTTCTGACCGTCTGTCTGTTTCAATACCGTTTTGCGACCTTAGTTGAAAAGCTAGCGATCTGAAACTTTCACATTCGTGTTATCAAGTTTGAAAAGCGCCCCGATTGGACGTATATATCCTATAGCTTCCATTGGAACAATCGGATATAGCTTGGACGGATTGAAAATATTTGCATCTTTGTAAATCGAATTTTTTTATGCATACCATGATCAGGGTAAAAGGGCGTACCGATCAGACGTCTATATCTTATAGCTCTCATTGAAACAATAGGGTAAAATGGGTTCAAACTTAATTTTTCACCATATTTCGATCACTATATAAGATATTGACCTGAATTAGTTAAAATCATATTTTTTAATGTATACCCTTGCAGAAAGTATTATAATTTCAGTCAGAAGTTTGCAACGCAGTGAAGGAGATATTTCCGACCCTATAAAGTATATGTCGCAGTTCTCAGAAATATTTGAATTCGATGAACGCTAAAGTTATTTGGCGCTCAGATTTGGTTGTCGCTTAGCATAAGCCGCTGGTTCCTGGTAAAACATGGATTCTAGGAATTCCTGCTCTACTCGTAGCGCGACGGCATTGCCAGATCTCTTTTAGAGTGGCGTAGTCGTCGAGTGAGGCCCGGTCGCCCAAGAGAGAGAGAGAGAGAGAACCGGAGGGCAAGAGAGCCGCTGGTTCCTGGTAAAACATGGATTCTAGGAATTCTTGCTCTACTCGTAGCGCGACGGCATTGCCAGAGTGGTGTAGTCGTCGAGTGAGGCCCGGTCGCCCAAGAGAGAGAGAGAGAGAACCGGAGAGCAAGAAGTTGCAAGAAGATGAGCTCTGGTATTTGAGGGGTGGTCAGTTTGAATTGGGCTCTTGGCGCGATCGGGACTTACTGCGCAATCGAAATGGCAGACCATGAAAATACTCCTTCTCCGTTATCAGAAGTGGGATCGGCCTTGCCACAGGACAATGAAAGTGTTATAGCTGCATTAGAAGCTCAAAATCGTGCCTTGTTGGAACTTGTGAAATCAATGAACACACCGCGAGTGCCATTAACGGAAGTTAAACCGAATTCCATATCATTGCCGAAATTCGACCCTGATAGTGCAGGCGCGGATGCAAGTGCGTGGTGTAATACAGTTGCATTAATATTTGCTGAAAACAATCTACAAGGCAGTGCTCTTGTCATGGCACTCAGCAAAGCTATGCAAGGAAGTGCTTCCCAGTGGTTGGCGCAAATTTGTTTCAGCGGCATGACATGGCCGCAATTCCAGGAATTGTTTGTGCAACGATTCGTTGGTATCGAGACCCCGGCAGCGACGTTGATGAACATCTTCAATGGGCGTCCAAATCCAGGAGATAATTTACCCGAATACGGAAGCCGCCTGGTGACGTCGCTCATGTCAAAATTCTAATCAATTGAATTGGAAGAGCTCATCGTATCCATCGTCACCGCCTTTTAAAGTCAATGTTTACGGGCGCTGTTAAAACCCGCAACGATCTGCAGCAACAATTAAAGGCGTATGCGTATTTAAAACGCAACGAATCCTTTGGAAACTAAGTCGAAAGGAAGAAAATGAAACTACCATCTCTAGTGAAGTGTCATCACTGTGGGCGTCTTGGCCATAAGATTGCGAATTGTCAAAAAAGGCAAACGGACGAGAGACACCGGACCACCTCAACTCAAGGACAACAACAATGCGCAGTCAACAACAGGACCTGCTTCAAATGTGGGGAGTTCGGGCACTATGCTTCGAAATGCCCACGTAATCGACATAATCTCAAGGAAGTCGAGATTAGCAAAAGAGTAAACTTGGTGGCCATAGAACCAAAGGGAGTTTTTGAAACAATTTGGTGAGTCTATTCCATTTTGTTTTGATTCAGGCACTGAATGTTCTCTTGTAAAGGAAAGTGTAGCAGCGAAGTTACAAGGAAAGCGTCAGTCTAGCACAGTGGTTTTAAGGGGCATCGGAAACGAACCGGTGTGGAGCACAGTACAGATAATTTGTAATGTTAATATAAACGAACATTTTCTTGAAATATTGTTTCACGTTATTATGGATACTTTTATGAATTTAGATATTCTTATTGGAAGAGATATTTTAAGTCAAGGCTTCGGAGTCGTAATTGAAGCAAATAAATTTGTTATTTATAAGCCTGAAATGGTACAAGCACTGTCGTATTAATTTAATCTGAAAACGTTTTAATTTTAATAAAGATTTAAGTGAGTTTGATAAAGAAAAATTAAGTGAAATATTAGAAAAATATTCCAAATCATTTATAGTGGGCATTCCACACACACGAGTAACAACAGGGCTGCTCAGCATACGGCCCATTGATCCACATAAGACTGTTCAGCGTCGCCCATATAGACTTAGTGAAGAAGAAAAGGCTAATGTTAGGGAAATGATTAACGAATTATTGTCTGCAAAAGTTATACGTCCTAGTAGTTCCCCTTTTGCTAGTCCGATGATGCTGGTCAAGAAGAAGAACGGTTCAGATCGTTTATGCGTAGACTACAGGGAACTAAACACAAATACGGTGGCAGATAAATACCCGTTACCACTTATAGCTGACCAAATAGCCCGTATGAGGGGAGCTAGTTTCTTTTCTTGCTTAGATATGGCTAGTGGCTTTTATCAAATTCCAGTTCACCCGGACTTGGTCGAACGTACGGCATTTGTAACGCCCGAGGGGCAGTATGAATTTCTCGCCATGCCATTTGGGTTAAAGAACGCTCCATCGGTGTTTCAACGTGCAATAATTAATGCTTTGGGACCATTAGCCCATACCTATGTTATTGTTTATATTGACGACGTTTTGATAGTTGCAGAAACGAAAGTTCAGGCAATGGAAAGATTAGATGAAGTCCTTAAAATTTTAATGGAAGCTGGTTTCTCATTTAACATAAACAAGTGTACATTCCTCACACAGAAAATAAATTACCTAGGGTATGAAGTTAGTGCGGGAGAAATACGACCAAATGGTCGCAAAATAAAAGCACTTGTGGAACTACCACCTCCTCAGACGGTACCTCAGTTAAGACAATTCAGGATATTTCGAGTAGTGTATGAGCTATTGACATCAATTTTTCCAAGTCTTATTTATTTACGCATACCTTGATCAGGGTAAAAGCGCTTGCCGGTTGGGCTTCTATATCTTATAGCTTCCACTTTTATTATTTCTTAGAAAACAACCAAATTTATCAAATTGTATCGTCTAGTCATGCTGATCAAAAATATACAGTAGGGTGTCCCTCGTTTTTCAAGTTCGAAATATTTTTACGCATACCTTTTTAAAACTTTCATAATAACCCTATATGTTTTAGAAAAAATATTAGGTATTAATTGTATGCAAGAGAACCCGTGCCGAATTGCAACTGGTTCAAAATTATTTCCGTCTTATTTTATAATATTCGGCCAGTCAAGTTGACACTCAGTGAAAGTGCAAATCTTGTGACTAGGGAGTGTCTAATATTTTGGAAAAAAGCTAGAATTCGCACAAAGGCATTGGCTAACTGTGTCAAGAAACTTATTAAATTATCTCATGTTTGGAGACCAAGAAAAATAATTTAAAATAGACCATGATAAGGTAATAAAAATGGAGAAAGACAAACTTTTTTTTTTTTAGTAAACAAAGAGAACAAGGTCGACCGGGATGTTTAGCTGGTGTAGACAACCAATTGAGAAAAAAGATGCCAGTTAAGTATAAGAGATTCCGTATACATTCTTCAGACGGTAGAAGAATGACTTGATATGAGCAGGGTTGATTTTCCTATTAACAAATCGTCGAGTCAGCGAATTCTAACTAAGCCTAGAAAATCAAGGGCAGGAGCATCGTAAATTGAATTTTAAAACAATATATCTGACATCGTCACAATCCAACTGCTTCAAATACTGGTCGTTTCAACGGAGCTTGTGCTATTTTCGAAGATAAAGCAAATAACTAGTAGCTAAGAAATTCCGCTCTTTAAAAAGTTCATAGATAATTTTTAAAACATCATTTCATTAAACTGTGTCTTGATTTCATAAAAGCACATATTTCGTGTTTATTAAAGTTTTATAAGAGACTATTACCGCTGTTTAAATTGTGCGAAGTGTTTTTGGGAGGAGATACACAAAATATTAAAAAATAAAAATACCCCCAAGCCAAAAATACAAGTTTCTGGTAGAATACCACTAAAAAAATTTCTTTGGGACAGTTATTTTTAAGATTTTTTAAAGTTTTATTTCAGCTGTCTTTTCAAGTATTATTTTAAATCTCGAGTTGTGACCAACGGATCTAAATGCATTTTACAAAATGTTACCATATCAATCTTTAACATTGTGATACTGAGTAATTGGATTGGATAAGTCATTTGTCTGCAAGAGCTCGACAGAAAGAGCCCGATAGAAATAAAGCTAAACAAATATATATTTTGTATATTCGTAAAGTTCAATTACGATTT